CAGAATATTTTCAAACTTGGGACCTATTTTATCCATGGTTAGAGAAAAGATTTCGGGATTAAGAATTTAATTTGCATTAGTGAATAAGATACTCGGACAACACGTTTTTTTTAATGATTACTGTTGAATTCTGTTAAAAAAATAATCAATAAAACTTTATAAAAAAAATAAAGAAATAAACGTGAGTCAGTTGCTAAGTGCCCAAATCACGATCGTGGGACCTGGATGGTCGTAAGTGCGAGGACAAGTCATAAAGCATTTTCCCATGCTAAGTTTGTTTGAGGACTATCTGCATACCGTCAGTAATTTATATTGTGGGAGAAAAAAAATCGACCTTTAGGAATTTATATATTTTACAGAAAAAAAAACCCTAAATTTTAAAAAGTGTTTTAATGCTGGGGTTAGTGTTTTAATGCTGCTTTTTCCTTATCTGGATCTTTAGTCCAAAACAGCACAAGGCAAAAATATGCATTAGAACCTGATTTCCTATTTTTTTTTCTTGGCAGGTGAAATGGGAATGTATTAACCACAAGTATCAAGAAAAGAAGAAAAACTACAAAAATTCTGGATATATTGTCCTCACTCAGTGCAAGGTGAGCCTCATAACCTGGGATGTCGGTATTAATATATTGAGCCTCCGAAGAAGAAGAAAGCAAAGATTCTGATGATGGCTAACCGTCGCAGCCCTCAGACTAATCATCATTGTCTCTCTGCAGATGGAGAAAGTCCACACCTTCCTGGATTACATCATGGGTGGTTTGCAAATCTCCTTCACAGTAAGTTTTAGAATTAAGAATTAAGACCAGGCTGTTGATTGTCTTATTATTTTATATATCGATTGATTACCTGCCTGTATTGTTTCACTGTCCCACTTTAAATCATAATCCAGGCATTTTGACCCCCTTTTACGACCTTTCCTGCTATGGTTCTTAAGTGAATCACTGCTAAGAGGTTGTTAAACGAGTCACACGGTCGTTAAGCAGATCCGACTTCCCCCAGTCGCAAAAGGGGGGGATCACGTGACCCCCCCGGACACTGCAACCGACATAAATACGAGTCAGTTGACAAGCGTCCAAACTTTGATCACGTGACCGTGGGGAGGGGGAGGCTGCGACCGTCGTTAAGTGTGAAAAACGGTCGTAAGTCACTTTTTTCAGTGAGTTTGTCACTTTGGACGGTCGCTGAATGAACTGTCGTAAGTTGAGGACTACCTTTACTGAAAGAAAAAAAAGGGATGTTTAAGATGACAAGGAGTCATTTTTAAAGAACGTTCGCAATAGAGGTGGTCCTCCTTTAGCGACCGCAACTTGGCAACTCGTTAAGTGAAGTGGTCCGGAAGTGAAACCGTGGCTTGTGTTTTTTTCCCTTCAGCTTTCTTTGGCTTTACAGGCCTGCAAAGGTCCTAAACTGCGAGGATCGGTTGCAAAATTACTTTTTCCTCACCACTGTGACTGCTAACGGTCGCTGTCCAAGGCGGTCGCTAACTGAGGACTGCCTGTATTAATTCCTCCAAATATAGGTGTGGCTTCAGAACTCTTTCCTATTCAGCGTAGGCCTTTAGTACAGGGGTCTTCAAACTTGGCCTTTTAATGACTGGTGGACTTCAACTCCCAGAATTCCTCAGCCAGGCACGCCTGGCTGAGGAATTCTGGGAGTTGAAGTCCACAAGTCATCAAAGGGCCAAGCTTGAAGACCCCTGCTTTAGTATTAGGTTTTCATTGGTACATTTGTCCAGATCTGGAGAAAACCTCAAGTAGTTCCCTTAGATTTGGATCTGTTTGGTCCCAACCTATCAATCAATCAATCAATCAATCAGAATAGAACTGGAAGGGACCTTGGAGGTCTTCTAGTCCAACCCCCTTCCCCTTTTCAGATAGGTAGTTGTCCACTCTTTTCTTAAAAACCTCCAGTAATGAAGCACCCACACCTTCTGGTGGCCAGCTGTTCCACTGGTTAATTGTCCTCACTGTTAGGAAGTTTCTCCTTGATTCCAGGTTGCTTCTCTCCTTGATTAATTTCCAACCATTGTTTCTTGTTCTGCCCTCTGGTGCTTTGGAGAATAGGTTGACCCCCCTCCTCTTTGTGGCAGCCCCCCCAAATACTGGAATCCAGCTATCATGTCCCCCCTAAGTCCTTCCTTTCTCTAGAGTCTATCCATATCCAAATCCTGCAGCCGTTCTTCCTATGTTTTAGTCTCCAGGCCTTTAATCATCTTAGTTGCTCTTCTCTGCACTTTTTCCCAAAGTCTCAACATCTTTTTTTTGTAATGGGGTGACCAAAACTGGACACGGGGATTTTAAAAGGCTTTATAAAGCGGTACTAATACTTCGCATGATCTTGATTCTGTGCCTCCGTTTACACAACCCAGGATTGTGTTAGCTTTTTTTGGCTGCCGTCGCGCACATGGCTGACTCTGGTTTAACCTTCATAACCCATTCATAACAATAAGCCAAGATTCCTCCAGCTCAGTGGTTCTCAACCTTTTTAATGCCGCGACCCCAACCGGTCGTAAGTCGAGGACTAAACCGGTCGTATGTCGAGGACTACCCAACCGGTCGTAAGTCGAGGACTTTCCCTGCCCGGGAGCGCCGCGCATGCGTGGTTCCGCCCCCTGCGCCGGCCGAGGCGTAGCTGGCAAGCGGCAGAGACGGAGCAGGCCGACCACCAGCTGGCCCAGCCCAAGGGAGGGAAGGCACCCGCCGGAAAAGGGGGAAAAAATGGCGGACAAAAAAAATGGCGGACAGCCTTGCTTGGCGACCCCCGTGAAATGGTCGATCGACCCCAAATGGGGTCCCGACCCACAGGTTGAGAACCACTGCTCCAGCTTCTCCTTTCAGATTCCCAGCAAACTTTCGAAATTCGCTCGGAGAGCTTTGCGCCTGAAGTGAGAATCGGAAAATTCCAGGTACGAATCCGATGTTCTAACCACTAGGCTACACCGCTTGGCTCCCTCTCTCTCCCTTGCCCAGGTAGCCATTGACTTCACGGCCTCCAACGGGGACCCCAGAAGCGAACATTCGCTCCATTTCATCAACCCCCGGGAGCCGAACGAATACCTGAAAACGCTGTCGTCCGTGGGCGAAATCTGCCAGGACTACGACAGGTACAGGACAGGTGGTGCACCTGGAATGTCGAAACTACGACTCCCAGAATCCTCTTCTGCCACCTGTCCGGATGGAGAACTAAAACAGTGTTTTTGTCTTCCAGCGATAAACGGTTCCCGGCCTTTGGCTTCGGAGCGAGAACCCCTCCGGATTTCGAGGTACGAATCCTGAGATCCGGTGAAACCGAATCGTCCCCCTTTTGTGCTCGGGGTGCGAATCCTCGTTCCTGTTTGTTTGTTTTGTTTTGTTTGTTTTTTGTTTTGTTTCTTCGGACAGGTGTCTCACGATTTCGCCATCAACTTTGACCCGGAGAACCCCGAATGTGAAAGTAAGGAAGAATTGTGATTTTCAGTGGAATTGCTGCTGCTTTTGTTTTTTAAAAAAAGAAAGATTTGGGGGATTGAAAACCCAGGCAATAATAGAGTCACTTGATGGAGTTAGGTGGAAGGGAGGGAGGGAGGGAGGGAGGGAGGAAGGAAGGAAGGAAGGAAGGAAGGAAGGAAGGAAGGAAGG